AGAGAGAGAGAGAGAGAGAGAGAGAGAGAGAGAGAGAGGGAGAGAGAGAGAGAGAGAGAGAGAGAGAGACGCAGTTGCATGGATGTGCACGAATAAACAAACACACAGAGGCAGACAGATGGATAGATAGATGGAGACAACGGCAAGTGGATAGACCGAATGATGGTTTGGGAACAAAAGCAGCTACGAAGACAAAAAAAGAAAAAGAAAAAGAAAAAGAAAAAGAAAGAACAGATTGGTTGAGAGGTAGGTAGGATGGCAAGTTCAAGATTTGTATTAACGGACAGAGGGGTGGGACGGTGGGACCCAAACCAATTCATATCAAAGATGGCAGCAGATTATCTGAGAGGGGGTGGACCCAAACGAATAAAAAATTAACGGACAGAGGGGTGGCCCCCCCCAGAAAAGGGGGCAAGCCCAAACGAATATAAAATTAACGGCAGCAGATACCGTTACCGTTCTCGACTGGGCTGACGGCAGACGGACCCAATCGTGTGAGGATCTGCTTAGTAGTGGACGAAGGGGTCCATTATTGCTGCTTATTCTTATTCTTATTCTTATTCTTATTTGTAGCATCGTGTTCGGCTTCGGTGACCATACCCGAACGTTCGGACCGAACGCGAAAGAGCGCCTAAACTCTCCGAACGCGAACATAAAAAACAACAACAACAACAACAACAACAAGTTCTCTAAAAAATCAGAAAAAAAATACATGTTATGTAAAATAATAATACAAACAACTTTTGCCTTGGAGGCATGGTCCAATTCGTAACCAAACTCGAGTTAAAAATCAAAACCCCAAGAAAAAAGTTTTTTTTTTTTTTTTTTTTTTTTTGAATATGTTCGGCCGAACACGTTCGGGTGGCGTTCAGCCGAACACCCGAAAGCTCCGAACATGTTCGGTGTGCTACTATTATTATTATAAATATTATTTATATTCTTTTATTTTCTGATGAAATCAGAATAAGTAATGGAATTGTGAGGTCCCCCGGCGTCCCTTTACGTGGTTTAACATGGTTTTCTTTCCTTTGACCAAAAAAAAAAAAAAAGAAAGAAAAAAGAAAAAAAAGAGAAAAAAAGAATAAGTAATGTGAAAGTTCGCCCTTTTAGTTAAAAAAAACTTTAAGAAGCAAAAAAAATGAAGTAATGAAACCAAGCTATTATTATTGTTAGTAATTACTTATTGACAGTTGAAACCAAGCTTTTATAATTATCTGTACTTAAATTAAGTTAAATATTATTATTGTTAATAATTACTTATTGAAACCAAGCTATATTCTTCTCTCACCTTACGTACGATGAAAGTAGGTGAAGAGGAATGTAGAGTAAAACAGAAGTCCAGCTGACCGGCGCCATTTCAGCCTCCAAAAAGACAAGCAGGTTGAAGACAATCTTTGTTTTCGGTTTTGTCCCCCTAGCCAAAGTAATTAATACTGCTGGATGGGCGTTGATTGTGTTCTTCAGTGAATCATCATTTCCTATATAATTTTATTTTTTTTAATCCTATACATAACTTGCAACTCGATGATGCACCGGACTCTCTTTCCTCAGACTGAAAAGAAGCGGCAGCCATAAGGCCGACTTCAAACAAAGAAAACAAAAGAAATACATAAACAGAGGTAAAAGGTAATCTAATCTCATCATGATGCCGTTTCAGGCAAAAGTCCTCGAACCAATGCCCCTCAGTTTATTGTCTTCAGCGGTGTCCTTCTGCACAACGCCGCTATACTAAACCCCATATACTCAAAAAAATAAAATAAAAAATATATATATATGCCCGCCCTCTCCCTCTTCTCTCTCAATGTCTCTCGAGTCTGTCAGTCAGTCACTCACTCACCCACTCACTCTGTCAGTCCGTCCGTCTGTTTGTCTGTCTGTCTGTCTGTCTGTCTGTCTGTCTCCCTCTCTCTCCTCCCCCCCCNTTTTTTTTTGTTGGAGTTCAGTTTCAAGTGCAGGCTGTTCAATGGTTTCCTCAAGTGTACATGGAACCATAAATCGAGTTATAACTTAGTGTAAATTAATCACAATTTCTCGTTTAGTGTGCACTTGAAACTCAAGTATTTTCTAGTGGTGTCAAACGAGTCTCAAAGTCTCGGAGATCGTTCTTGCTGAGCTGCTTGGGTCTCCTTTTTTTTTTTTTTTTTTTTTACCCTTTGACATATGTCAGAGTTCCATATTTGGCCCCTTGGCTGCTAAGGCTCCATCCAGTGGTGGGAAGCAACACCTGGGGCCTGGTCCCATCAGCAAAGAGGATTGGATTTAATTCCTGAATCTGGATGTGTTGTGTGCAGATATGCAGAAAAGCAGATCAATCTCAATTTTCTGAATCTCTTCAAGAACACGTCCAGATTCAGGAATTAAATCTAATCCTCTTTGCTGATGGGACCAGGCCCCTGCTGACAACCAGGGTCAGCTCCCATTGTCGTGATAGACTCATTTTCTGGAGGCCATTTCTGATCCTGAGGCTGAGAGGGATTTGAACTCCTGTATTCTACTACCTTCTTCCCCCGAATACAACGTACGGTCATTATAGCTGTATCTGGACTGAAAGATGCCTCAAATACAGCTATAATGACCGTACGTTGTATTCGGGGGAAGAAGACACATCTAGATGTGTATAAGAGACAGCTCTCTCTCTCTCTCTCTCTCTCTCTCTCTCTCTCTCTCTCTCTCTCTCTCTCCCCAGCGCGCATCATCCCTTCCCCGGGCTTAGTGCGTGTGGCCGCGTTTCCTGTCCGGTGTGTGGAATCCGAGCGCTTGTATTCTTAGCCTGTACATATCTGCATCCCCGCTCCTTCCTTCCCTTCTCCTTTTTCACTCTCTTCCCTATCCTCTCCTTCTTTTCCCGGCCGTGCGTAACGTATGTGGGTCTGCGGAATCGGTGAATTTGTCCGCCAACCCTTGAAAAAGCAGCCTTTAGAACGTCGGTACTTTTTGGAGTGGAAGGCCTGTTTGGTTGTAATTTAAGGAGGGTACACACTTGTATTTTCCCATCTGAATCCGCGGGCTAAATCATGGTCGTATACGTATATCAGAATCCATCCCAGCCCAGAGTGAACATGCTTTATGAACTCTCTTCGACAAGTGCTTTAATTGTCTCCAGTACGTATCCAATCGCCGGTCTTCTGCTCGCATTCTCCTCTGTGCATTCACACCCAAGCTTCAACAGCCCACACAATGTCGCCATATCCCATTCCGTGACACCTTGGATTTTAAAGCAGCTGAGGAGGTGACCGTCCACCATATCTGCAATGGCCTCGTAATGGCAGTGTCTGAGTCGCTGAAGCCTTCGTCTGCACCAACGTGCTAGCAAAACGGTTTCTTCACTCAAGGTTGGACCTTCACTATCCCACTCTCCTTCCTCCACCTTGGCGTAGAAGATCGCCTTCTTTCCGGTCACTAACTCTAGCAAGATTACACCGAAGGCATACACGTCATTCTTCGCTGTCAATTTCAATTCAATGGCGTACTCGGGCGCCATGTACCCGATGGTCCCGGCTCTATACGTGGTCTGGACGGTATCCCGTCCTCTCTTCTGTCCTTTCAATCGCGGGTTTCCTAGCCGGGCTAGGCCGAAATCGGTCAGGTACGCGCGGACATGGTCTCCCGTCCCTTCAACAAGCACATTGTTGCTCTTTACGTCCCGGTGCAGAAGCGGCGGGTCCAACTCTTCATGCAGGTATCGCAACGCAATGGCAATCTGATGTGCCACAAGTACCCTCGATCTCCAATCAAGAGGATCAGGGGGAGAAGGAGAGGAGGAGGTAGTAGTATCAGTAGTAGCAGTAGTAGGTGTAGAAATCGATGTAGAGGTAGAAGTTGAAGGAGGAGGAGGAGGAGGAGGAGGATGTGGCGTTTGGCTTTCGGAATCGCTGTCGGAGCAACTTGGGGATGCATTTGTCCGACTATTCTTGTCGTGGTGCAGACGATCGTGGAGACTTCCCCCCGGGATGAAGGGGTAGACCAGGATCGCGATGCTGCCTTCGAGGCAAAACCCTAGGAGTTTGCAAAGATGGGCGTGGCGAGCGCTGCTTAGTGTCGTGACCTCGGCAATGAACTGCTTGCGCTTCATCTCGCTGAACTTTCCCCTCATCATCTTGAGTGCCACGTCAACTTCCTCCTCATCCCCTATTTTAAGGCGGGCACGATAAAGGTCGCCGAATCCCCCACTGGCTCCCGCTACGCGGTACTGTGAGCTGAATCCGTCGGTCGCTTTACTCAGGTCTGCGAACGGGATCGGGCGAGGGGCATCAAGATTGTCTAACTTACGTGTCACGAACGAAAGGCTTAGCCCGACGGCCCCGACCGCATACCCCGATAGGGATCCCGATTCCACGTCTGAGACGGGTGTGAGCGACGAGATCGCGGAGCCGCTTGTGATCTGCAGATCGCCTGGCGGAGGCAATTGCTCGAGCGGAGGTTTGAAAAGCGGAGACCCCGCCGGCAATGGGGATCGGGACACCGGCAGCGCTGCGCTGATTGGTGGCAAAGGCTTCGGCGGCGGCAAGGGTGAGGAGCGCGGGGGCGGGGGGGATCTGAAGCAGAGGGCTTTTCGCCGCCAGCTGACGAGCGTCGCGACGACGATAATGACAATGATCAGCACGCCGACTAGAACGGCAGCCAGGACAACGGGGAGGCCTGATTGGACAGGCGGGGAGTCGGGAGCAAATTGGGTAGAGGGAGAGGAAGAGAGAGAGGAGAGAGGAGGGGGAGAGGAAGAGAGAGAGGAGGGAGGAGAGGGAGAGGAAGACAGAGAGGGGGGAGGAGAGGGAGAAGAAGAGGAAGGGCCAGTGGGAGGAGCAGAAGCGGAAGTGTTAGAGATAGAACCAGAGGGGATAGGAGCGGGGGGGAAAGTGGTAGAGGGAGGAGGAGGAGGAGGAGGAGGAGGAGGAGAGGAAAGGGAGCCAGAAGCATTGACGATGCGGGATTGCTCTCCACCACCACACCTATGGAGCGCAGACCGATTGAGTTCAAGCAGGAAGATCTCGCCGTTCTCTGTGCCCACGTACAGGTGTCCCTCATCTGTGCTGAGCGCGAGGCGAGTCAATCCGTTCAATTCGCGATCGGGAAGAGCGTTGGGGTCGCTTGCATCTGCTGCGTTGGGTGCTGGGGGAGGTCTGAATGTGGCCACTACTTTCCTTTCCAGTACTTGACCATTGGGTTCCACAAAGGTCAGCCATTGGATTGACGTCTCGTTTAAGTCTGCTACCCGAAGGCCAGTCATGAAGAGATTGCATCCATCGAACGACAAAACTGTGCTTGCTGGGGCGAAGGGAGGATCGAACCTGGTGCCCCAGCCTGTGAAGGCGATAGTCTCTGTTAGATTCGTTAGTGTGTTGAGCCGTACTATTCTACTATTACTATCATCGGCTATGTATAGGAATGAACCATTGGAGGACAAGGAACCGTGGTTAATCAATGGGCCTGAATATGGTGTGGGTTTATTGCTGCCAGCCGAGGCAGGGTTGCCAGCTGGAGCGTCTGCAGAGAGTACGGACTCCACAGCTAGTCCTTTCTTCAACTCTACCTTGGTGATGCGTTTATTTGTCTGCTGCAATGACGCGCCTACAAAGACTATGGCCTCCGTTGGATGCCTCACTAACCCATAGAAAGCGGGGGTTACAGCGGTTATGAAATCCGTCTGCTCTCCCGTGGCGATGTCAATCTTCCACATGCTATCGCGGTTGTTCACACCTGCTAGTAAAGATGTGGGAGAGGTGGTGGAATCGTTGCCCACCGGCTCGAAAAAGTCAAGGCCCGTGATCTTACCGTCATCAGTCGTTCTTGCAAGGTCTCTCGACACATTGTACACCGGCAAAGAACCCGGGGAAGCAGATGGCGCTGCTGCTGCTAACACCGCCTGTCGTAGGACACAAGTATCGTTGTTCGCTCGATCGACCTGGGAGAAGTAGATGGTTCTCTCATCGCGAGAGACGAGGAGAGCCTCGATCTTGCACCTATGGCAGGGAAGATCCCCTAGGATATTCCATGGTGGCGCAGTGAAGAGATTTCGATCTAAGACAAACTTCCCTTCCAGCGAAGCTAACCGTCGTCTATTCGAGTTGGAACGTGCTGTGGTGTCAATCTTCTCCCTTTGCTCCTCCTTCTCCTCCTCCTCCTCCTCCTCTCTTACATCAACGATGTTCAGAGGAGCTCGTTCTATCTTCTTCGGCAGTGCAGGAGCAGAGCCTAGAGATCCCCAAACCTTCGTCCTCGAACACAGGCTAGCTATGGCCGACACCTCCTCCTGCTCCTCGTCTCCCACCTCCTCTTCCTCCTCCTTCTCCTTCTCCTTCTCCTTCTCCTTCTCGTTCTCCTTGTCGTAAACCGAGCTGACCACGTCTCCGTGAGCTTCTTGTTCCTCTGGCTGTGAAGAAGCATGTCCGTGAGTAGGTGCCGTTCTCCTGTTCGACTTGAAGTGAGCTATGGCTGATGAGTCCTTCTCCTTCTTTGACTTCGACACGACGAAGCCTGTGAGAGATTGCTCTTTTCTTGCGAGCGAGCCTGCGCATCCTGCTGTCTTCGTCCTCGTTGAGAGGGATGACGTTCGGTAGAGGTCCCGATCGAGGAGGACATTTGTGCTTCGAAGGACTACGACGAAGGTCATGAGGAGGAACATCAGCTTTGCAGTCCTTCTGCCAACGAACACTGTTGCTGCCGCGGAGTGGGCGGAGAACAACCAGGAGGACGGCGAGGAGGAGACGGCGGTGGAGGAGGAGGAGGAGGTCCTTCGACACCCTGTCTGATCGTAGGCATGCACCGTATGCGAGGTATCGAGTGGGAGCATCATCTCTTACTTTGTTATAATCCCCCTGTTTACATCTTCATACCCCTCGTCGCATCGCAAGTACACAGAGTCTCTCCTCGATTTAGACTCTAGACAACTTCCCCCTGGACGTGTGTGTGTGTGTGTGTGTTTGGAGAGAGAGAGAGAGAGAGAGAGAGAGAGAGAGAGAGAGAGAGAGAGAGAGAGAGAGAGAGA